AGTCCTCTCATGTTTTTAAGTTACATAGAGTTTTTAAATTATATACTTGTTTATTTTTCAATATTAGATATGTAAAATTTGAAAACACCAGATATGCTATTGTGTACCTCTTATGGTATCATTAAGTTGTTCAGATTATTTTATTAGAGTTACGAATTTATTTTATTAAATTATATTTTTATTTACTCATCTTGTGCCTAAAATCTAATGGGACATGATTTATATCGTGAATGAACCTAAATAGATTAAACTCAGACAATTTTGTATATCGTATTCATGTCCCAATCGAGATGTTTTTACACAATTATTTTTGTTTAATTTAATTAAAGAAAAGAAAGAAAAGATCTGTAAATTATTTTCATTAACCGGTTAAATAACATTTCATGTTATATTCCTTTTTAACTAAAGCACGAAGCATGGTTTTGTTTTTGGCAACTTTCATATTATATAAAAAGTTATATGCAAGAAATTATATGTCGGTGTGATAAAAGATGTAGATAATTGTTTTACAACTAAAAAAATTATGGAAATTTAAAAGTAAATGAATATTAATAGTTTACTATTATTTTATAAAAAATATTAAAAAAAGTCATTATTATAAAAGAGGTTTATAATGACATTTTTATTTTTATTTTTATAATGGATTGAGTTATTGATAATGAATGTCAATTGTTTCATATTTTAATTAATTGTCGTTGTATTTTTATAACACAATAATAATAATACTCTTCAAGAATCACCATCTTAGAGAATAATCATTCTATATAATGATTGGTTTACACAAAGTTGTCATTATAGATGTGATTTCCATAGTATATCCCTTGCTTTGCTTTTTTATCATTAATTATATGATGTGTTTAATAAGAAGGAATGCGGATTTTGAATATTTTAGTAATAATACACCTCCATGTGATGTTTTTATTGAGATGGTTAAAGTAAACATTTATTTACAATTTTTTACATGATATCCATGGTTGAACTCATTGATTTGTGTTTTTCGTGTGTAGAAAAAAAAAAATGATTAAATCCATAAATAAGACTGTTGTTGAACCTTTCGAATTTAGTGTAGATGTGCATCACGTTGAGATGCTACGTACGAATTAAGGACTTTTCTCTTATGGAACTTTGAAGAGGGATGTTATTACTTGTTTTTCCTAGTTTCAAAAATTTCACCTAATCTCATGAACTTATGTCTTTTGTTTCTTTTTTATTTTTGTTTGGATAACAATTTGACATGAGGTATCAATCGTTGTGTACACACAGTTGTCATTAAGGTTTAGTGTTTTTCACAAATAGTTTTTTATTTTTACTATTTATTTTCTTGAATTCGATTCTATTTTATCTATTCCTTGATTTGTATTCAATATCATTACTTTTATGCTCTATTTGATAGATTGAACCAGTAAGAAGAAATAAAAATTTTGAATACACATTCACCCGATATAATTATGAAAGCGGTTAGAGTACAAATCATTGGTGTGAGAAATATATGTTCAGATTAAGAGATGTTGAATTGATTTAATAAAAAACTGTTCGCAACTTTTGAGTACAGATTATAAAATTTAAAGATTTAAGAACCAAATCAATTCTTAAATCAAATAATAGCAATCTTGAATGAAAGAAAGAGATGAAAGAAAAACAAGAATACTAAGTTTATACTGATTGACCCAAACTCAATCCACTAGGCTACATTAAGTTTTCAACCAAATTTTAGTTGAGTTCCACTAATCAAATACCAATCAATTACAATAATAGATTGTAGAAAATCAATCTACACCAAGAACTTTAACCCAGTTCTTAAACCTATGACAACAACTACAATTCGAGCTACATAACCTAGTTTCCACAATTCCGGACACCAAAAATAAAATGAACCGAATGAAAAATCAAAATGCTTGATGAAACTACAACAATCAAATCAATATGCAAATGCAAAGATTCAATCACAAAATGAGTTACCTCAAAAACAAGAACAAAGAGTCTCAAGAAATATTACAAAATAATTCTAACGAGAAAGACACGTTTCTCTCTTGGAAAATATATCTAAAGGTTGTTTGAATTATTTCTTAAAAGATATGTTTTGAAATGTTGATGAAAATCTATTTATATAGAGATTTTTCTAACTAATTGATATGATTAATCGATTAATTTGCACTTTAATCGATTAAAACAACTTAGCTTAAATGAATTAACTGATGAAAATGCTTTTTAATCGATTAAAAAGGTTCTGCCAATTTTTCTCGAGACATTTTAACTGATAAAAACGTGATTTAATCGATTAAAATAATTCTGGATATTTTTCAAAGACGTTTTAACTGATGAAAGCGAGATTTAATCGATTAAGACTGTGATAGAAAAATTGTTTAAATATTTTTAATTTATTATTTCAAAGTTATATCGATTAAAATTTTGGTAGAAAGTTTTTTAAAACTTTTTAAGTGAATTTAATCGATTATTTTGAAGATATATCAGTTAAAATTCGACAAAAAGTTTTCAAAAACTTCTTAAGTAAATTTAATCGATTATTTAAAAGATATATCAGTTAAAAGCTGCGACATAAAGTGTTTTCAAGTTGTTTAAGTAATTTTAATCGATTATTTTGTAAATATATCAATTAAAATTGCGACAGAAAGTATTTTAAGTGTTTTTAATCAATTGTTTCGAAAACATATCAATTAAAATTGCGATTGAAAAATATTTTAATCGATTAAAACGATTTTTAATAGATTAAAAATACTTGAGACACTTTATATTTTGTAAAAGATAGAAACTCATGCTAGAGGAGATGATAGATGTTTATACCTACACAATGTAGATGCAGACTCACTAATGGACCAACACAACACCAATTTTTAATAACTTCTTTTGACTTGATCAAATATTCTAGTTAAGACTTTCAAGATTTTTCTTATTGGTTTCTTCATCAATTGGTTTATATTTCTTGTGTGCACAAAGATGTCATTAAATCCAAAAATAAGAATGTTGTTGAACTTTTTGAATTTGGTGTAGGTGTGCATCACATTGGGACATTACATGCATATTAAAGACTTATCGAGGAACTTTTCTCTTATAAATTTACGAAGGTATATGTTATCAATTTTATTTTTTTCATGAGTGTTAGAATTTACACCTATATTGATATAATAACATTTTATGACAACTTATTATGATAGTTCTAATCCATTGCTATATAGTAAGTTTTAGGTGACAATTTTATAATTAAAATTTATTTTTTTGACAGTTCAATTTTGAACTATCACTATGTCGAGTTTAAAATTAAACTCGTTATAAAAAGTAATTTTTTTTAAGATTTTCTATATCAGTTTAATTTTAAAGCTGATATAGTAAATAACTTTCTATATTAGTTATTAAATCGATATAAAAAGTACTTATTATATTGATTTAAAATTAAACCATGATAAACTTTAGGTTAAAAATTTACAAAATTATTTTAAGTTTTTAGGCTTCCTCATTCTCTAGTTCACTTTCTTACAGGTCAAATGTCTATCCAACTTTGTTTTTCATCATATTCTTCTTTTGCATTCATTCTCATATTCTTTATTATCCTACTTGCATCATCACCTCATCAACTTTGCTTTTTTATCGTGTATCACAACATATACATTTGTTTCCATTAGTTTGTATATTGTTTGATAGAGCATTCTAATTTACAATGTATTATGATTCTTATTTTATTTCTTATAAATACTGTGAGTGATCCAAAAATAAATGAAAAATTTTATGTTTGATATTTTTCATTATAGATGATACTTGTACTTAATTTTTAATTTTTAAGATTTATTATTGCATTGGAATTGTTTGATATAATATCGGTAAAAAATAATATAAAAAATGGCGTCAAACTTTTTATGATATTTATATTAAAAATCAACATAATCACCTAGAAAGTATAAGTTTTTATATGGTATAGATTTATGTCAAAACCAACATAAAAGTAAAAAATAATTATCATAACAAAATCTTCATTAAATTAATGCTAATTTTGTGAACTTCTGTTTTTATTTATTTTAGGTTTTAATTAATAAAATTTTCTCTTACAATTTATTGAAATATATTTTTTTACAAAAGGTGTTATCCAATTACTACCATCATTATCCTCTTTGTGTTTTATATAAATATGATTTGAGTATTGTATAATTTCAAAATATGGATTGTAATCAAAGCACAATTTAATTATTATTATGTTAATAATTATATATATTTTTTCTAGCCTTGCTTAGGAAAAGTTATTGCTACATAAGGAGAATATCTTATAAAGAAATGGTATTTTGTTAATTTAATATAAAAAATATCTATCCAATAACCGATATATAATTATAATAACATTATTTATTATTTTATTATATTATAATAATATTATTTATTATAATAAGTGGCTTTAATAGAAAGATTGTCAAAATTTAGTTACAACAAAATGATGTATATAATGATGGCCTAATAGACTATTAGTTTGTGAGGAAAACATAAAAAAGAAATGTCATAAAGATGTGAAGACAAATAAAATTAGAAAATAGAAAAGATAAAAGAAAAAAACTACTAAATTTAAAGAAAAGAAGCATGGCATCGTATCGAAAGGATTATGATATGAGTACTTGATATTTTGACAACTGGAAATCATACAACTTTTCAAACAACTCATTTTTATTAATATAATAATCTATAGAATCGATTTAATAAAAATAAAAATAAAATAAAACTATTATTATAATATTAAAACAGAGTTGTTTACGAGGAGTTGTATGGATTTGAGTTGTCAAAGTATTATTTTCCTTATGATATATATATATATATATATATATATATATATATATATATATATATATATTTGGGAAATTTAATAAACACTTAAGATCTTTACAAATTATTGAAAATGAAATAAGCAAAGCTCATAATTTGATCTATTCCAATAAAAGTGTCTAACAGAAATTTTATTACAAATCAAAACTATCACTAGACAAATTTAAATAGAAATGAACTCTCTACCGAGGATAGAATTCACTCATAGACATTTCATTGACAGAGAACGATGTTGAATTGTTGGTAGATTGACTGGAATTGGATTCATTGGCAACTATTTTTCGATTCATTTTACCATGCAAGATGAAGGCTGGTTCTAGCGGAAATGGCAATTCCACTGACGAATTGCTAAGATATGAAATTATGGTCAACATTGTAGGTCTCTTATCAGGATTTTCTTGAACACATAACAGACCAATTTGAATGCACTTAATCACTTCTGTTTTGGAATAATCCTTCATCAATTTTGAGTCCAATATGTTCAGTGGTGTATGATCCATCCATTGTTTCCAAACCTGTAACATTTTGTAAACTCTGTCAAAACATTACACTTTCTTCATTTTCTTTCTTCTTCTGGAAACACAAGAACAGAATAAAAAAATAAAATTGCAAGATATGTACTTACAAAACTTAACAGACCATCAACAGCACCATATGATTCATAGGAACCTACATTCTTTTTCCCAGTAATAATCTCCAAAATCATAACTCCAAAGCTGTAAACATCTGATTTCTCAGAAAATTGTCCAAGCATTGCATATTCTGGAGACATATATCCACTGCAAAATTAGAGATAATAAATAATTGAAAATAAGTTAAAGTGTATACTATGTAAAAGATAAAAAGGATGAGAATGAATATTCAAAACTTACTAAGTTCCAATGATCCTGTTAGTACTTCCTTCTTGCTGATCTATTTCAACAATTCTAGCAAGACCAAAATCTGAAATTTTTGGATTCATGTTTTCATCTAATAATATGTTACTAGGTTTAAGATCACGATGTATAACTTTAAGTCGAGAATATTCATGCAGATAAAGGATTCCCCATGCAATTCCTCTTATAATTTTGTGACGCTGTGACCAAGTGAATACCTTTTGCAGCTGGGTATCTAAAAAAAAAAAAAAGGAGGTAACAAGTGAAGATTTAAGGTAGTGTTAAATTTTTAAAATCTGAAGAGAAGCAAGAACATCAAACCAAATAAGAAGTGATCCAAGCTCTTGTTCGACACGTATTCATAGATAAGTATTTTTTCTTCTTCGTCAAGGCAAAATCCAATGAATTCCACGAGATTTCTATGTTGAAGTTTTGCTATTAATAAAACTTCATTTTTGAACTCCCTGGCACCCTGTTTAGAAGTTCTTGAGAGTCTTTTTACCGCAATGTGTCTTCCATCGATAAGAATGCCCTGTAAATATAAATGGAAACTTTTGAAAAACCAAAATCATTAAAGAAACAAAATTTATCATATTTTGATTCTACCTTGTAAACTTCTCCAAATCCACCTTTGCCAATCTTATTCTCATCTGAAAAGTTGTTTGTTGCTGCTTTGATTATAGCCAAATCAAATTGCAATGGCTCCACGGCACTACTTTCATGTCCAACTACACCAAAATGATTCAGTTGTTAAACTATGAAGAATTCTCCGTTTTATTTTCTTATTCACAATACTTACAATTTTCTTTGAGAATGGTTTTGTAATTCTTTGCTTTTCTTCGTGTGAAGTAGCAGGCAAAAGAGAAGAGTATAACTGGAATGCTTATGGCGGAAGCAACAAGCAACACAATTTTGCGTCGCGGATCATTTCTTATTCCTGTATTGAAAAAAATTCATGTCATTAATACATAATCATCACAAGTTAATAGGTAGAGGAAATTAAGGTGGATAATTTATAAAGCATATAAAATATTAGTTTATTATTGATGATTGGTGATATTAGTTTATAGTTTGGCCTTAGTAAATAAGTTTTTGGTCTATGATTGGAAAGCTATTTTAATAATTTTAAAAATCGTTCTTAGAATATAGTTTTTTTTTTATATATATTTATCAGTGTACAACTTTTATAACCACAATCAAACTCATTTTATTTTTCATTTTTCTCTTTTTCTTTTATTATACAGCTCATTACATTTTTTTTCTCCCCCTCATTACACTTTTTTTTTCTAATTTAAAAAAATGACATTATAAAATTTGGTCTCTCTTTAATTTTTTTTGTGTTTTATTGTCTTCCAAATTTTAATTTATCCATGTTATAAAATCTATAATTTTGATATAATTTGTAAATTTCCATACACTTATTTTTTTAATCTTTATATTATAATGAATTAACTAAATAATTTTAAAATATATTACAAAATATTTTAGTTAAATTTAAAATTCAATTAGAATAAAATACAAGATAAAATATATACAATTGAACCAAAATTACAATTAAAAAAGAAAAGAAAAGAAAGAAACATGGTATGAGAATACATAGATACCTGTAGGATGAGGGATACGAACAGGCTGCGGTGGTGGCGGCGGTAGCGGCAGCGACGGCGGTGCCACCCAGTTGTTCAGAAACTGAAACACTTCAAACCTGAGAACACAGCTCGGATACAGAACTCTTCCACCGAGGCTTCCCAAACGCCTCCACGGAATCGCCGATCCAATCACATCGCTCAAGCAAGCGTCGCAATCGTTGCTCGACAAGTCGCGCGTACACTGCGCCGCAACATATAGCGTCTGCTCCTCGGTCAATGTCACCGTCGCGTTTCGGTACCTCACGCCACTGTCCCCTGTTCGGTTCGCAATGCCAGCCAAGCTCGTCGCAAACGTAAACGCGGTCTCCTCAATCGTTGCCGCGCCACTCGTCACATTCAGAATCTCATATCTCGGCCATGTCTCCACTCTGGAGACAAAATCCCGATCCGAATACCGAACCAAACAATAGTCGAACCAAACCACACCCTCCCTCGCAAAACGACATGCCGAAAGCACTCTCGCCGATGCGTTCCGCACGCACTCGCCACAGACGGCGCCCGTCGCGATGTCACCGCGGCACATGAAGAGACCGCGCAGCGCTCCTACTCGAGTCTGAAACTCCGCGCCGGCGGTGGCGTTGGAAGTCAAGTATGATAGAAGAGTGGTGAGGTTTGACCTTAACGAAAGAACGTCATCGTTTTGCAGAGTCTGAACGTAGCTACTACAGTTGTGAGATATGTATCCAGAATATCCTGGATCTGATAGTGGATAAGAATATCTCGTTTCTGGAACGATTAGTATGCTGTTTGAGCGGGAAAAACTCTGGAAACGAAAGAAAGGGTATAACTCAAACCTAACGTTGCAGCTAGGAAACAAAACTCTTCCTCCTAGTTTATCTCCACTGCATTGCGAAAGCATGTTTGTTGCGTTGACGAGACACATGACGCAATCGTGACGGGAGAGGTCCGTGGTGCACTGCGCCATAGAGTACAGCGTCTGAGTTTCGAATACGTTTTGCTGCTTCGTGGCGTACCAGTTCCCAGTGGGGGAGTTCGCTACTTCGTGTATGGTTTGCTTCATGGTTTTTGATAAAATGTTCTTGAAGGTGGTTACGTTGTTGGAGATTTTGGCATTGTTGAATTTGCATACTTTGGGTTCGGTGGTGACGGTGGAGAAGAACGAGACGTTGGAGTAGCGTACCATGCACTCGTCGTACCAGATTAGGGCTTGTTTGGAGAGGGAACATTCTGGATCCGAGGTTAGTTTGTTTGTGGCGTTTTGGACGCATTGGTAGCAGAGGTCAGGGGGCATGTCGCCTCTGCACATGAATAAACCGAAGACTGTGTTTTTTATAGTGTCGTTGTAGAAATTGGTGATGGTGGCGTTGGAAACTAAGGTGGAAAAGAGGGTCTTGAGATTTGTTTGGTAAGTGGTGTTGGGGGTGGTGGTGGAGCAAAATTGGAACATGAAGGGTGGGTCTTCTGCTTTGGTGATTGCAAAATTGATGAAGATAAGGTGCATGAAGAAGAAAATAAGGTTGAAGGAATTAGAAGCCATGGTTGTGTTAATGTGTTGTTGTTGAGTTGAAGGAGGTCTTAGATACATATTGTGGTTGGTGACATGTTTGGCATGGCGGGGGAGTGGAACACTCGTCATTTTCATTATCTTCTCAATGATTAATTGCATTTATGCATATCGCACTGTCTCACACTTAGGATTGTTCTATTTTTGATGAATGAGTTAGAAGTTATACTACTTTTGTAGATTTGTTCATTGATTAGGTTATGGCTATAAAATAGAAGTTCTTTAATTTCTTCTCTTTGTTTTATGCTTTTCTCCTTTCCTTCACGAAAGCTATGGAATTGTTAAATATTCTCTGTTCAACCTTGCTAATAGGAGATAGCTTGTCAGAAAAGAAGGCAAGTATACACAATGTTTCCATTAAGAAAAAAAAAAAAAACATTTTACATGGATTATCTACCCAAAATTCGAAACTCTTTAAAAGTGTTACTTTTTGTATCTTGTTTGGGCCATCAAGCCTGTATGATAGAACATTCATTTCCTTAGAAACAATTTGTTATCTTGTTTTCCCTGTTTAACATTCACTTATATTTGGTTCATACTTAGTAGCATAGACTGCACTAGTCTTAGATCCATAGATACTTTTTAATAATGTTAGACCAAGGGATGCATGAATTGGTTTATATTAATTTTTTTTTAACTTTTTCGTATTATTGTATCCATTTATTGTAAAATGGAAGTTAAGCTCAGTGGTTGGGTGCAAAGAGAGGGACACCATCTTAAGTGAAAGAGGAGTAGTATTATAAAGTGAAGTGTTTGTCAAGTTTGTTTTAATGAATTATATTAGTGAAATAAACTCAGTCAAGAGGTTTCAAATCATCATGTAAATTCACGTCTTTTACTATTTAATATTTGGCGTGTATTTTGTTTGTCCTTTTTTTTGTGTCAAGGGAAGACTTTTCTGCAACATTGGTACACTATTTGACTATCGGTATAAGTATAGGTACACAAATAGATTTATAATCCTTGATTTTATCTTTTATTAGACCAGATGCATTAAAAAAAGAAAACCAGTTGAACAAAAAAACTTAGACATAAAATTGTATGGCAGTTTCGTCATATATGTTGGAACAAGTTGGTAATTTGGCAATTTCTCTTTCCACTGTAATACACATTAACAGAACCATGTCTTCGAATTCCTTGAAGCTCATCTTCCTTTGTATCCTTGTAACCTTCTTCAATATCGAGACTAGTAAAGCAGAGGTTGCTACCGTTCTTGCCGCATTTTGCCGTGACGATAGAAGCAGTGACAACAGCCCCTATCAGATGAACCTGAGGACCCTCCTCTCTTCCTTATCTTCCAAAGCCAGCGACAAAGGATTCTACAACGACACAGTGCTTGCCACGAACTCCTCTGACACGGTGTATGGTCTTTTCATGTGCAGGGGTGATGTACTCTCTCACGGCTGCAAGGACTGTGTCGCAAGCGCAACCGAGACTCTATATTCAAACTGTAACATGTCCAAATATGGTGTGATGTGGTACGAAGCGTGCATGGTACGGTATTCAAACGTCTCTTTCTTTTCCACGGTGGGCCTATCTCCCAAATTCTACGGGAGCAACATAGCCATATCTCCTCCACCTCAACAAGCAGATTCATGAGTTTCTTGTCCACCACCATGAATGAAACTGCAGATGAGGCAGCCAAATCTAGCAGCAGGTATTCCACGAGGCAGGAAAACTTGTCTGAATTTCAGACCCTTTACTGCCTAGCTCAGTGCACACAAGACCTTTCAATCCAACAATGCTCACTCTGTCTTCATGAGGCAATTTCAATTTTTCCACTTTGCTGTGATGGAAAGCAAGGAGGAAGAGTTTATTATCCCAGTTGTAACATTAGGTATGAATTATACCCTTTCTACCGCGTCAGTGATGCACAAATAGGACTCGTCCCTGAAACAAAATATGCACACAAAGATTCTGAATATTCAGAAGATCCCGGATATATTTCTCACAACTGCTCAAACAACAAAGCTGACGCTACTTTCCAATCAAACCTAAGAACCCTCCTCTTTGACATGTCTTCCAACAGCACCTCTCAACATGGATTCCAGACGCTAGAGAGAACAGCCTATGGCCTCTTCAGGTGCCGTGACGACATTACTCCTGGCCTCTGTGGGCAATGCATCCAAAACGCAACGGACAAAATAGCCTCTCTGTGTGGTTTGGCTTCTACGGAGGCCATCATATGGTACAATCATTGCTGGCTTCGCTATTCCGGCAGAAACTTCTTCTCCAGCGCTGAAACAAGTCCGAGATTTTGGGATCTGAATATCAGCAACACCAATCCGATACAGTCTTCTGTTACTTCTGAATTATCTAACAAGTTAGCTGAGGTGGCCACGAAGACTGGGAACAGGGATAACAAATACCGAACCGATTCACTGAGATTGAATGATAAGCAAACAGTGTATATTCTTGCTCAATGCTCATCGGATCTATCAACCAATAGTTGCATTGGGTGCCTTAACGATGTGATTGGAACGGCCATTCCATGGACCAGTTTGGGAAGTGTCGGTGGACGAGTTCTCTATCCAAGTTGTATTCTTCGCTTTGAATTCTTCCAGTTTTACAATCTCACTCTTACGACTGCAAGAGCTACACCTTCCCCGTCAGGTTTTTATATTTTTATCCGTATCAAACTTCACAATCATTATTCCATTAACTTATACTTTGATAAGAAATTTTATAATTAAAAAAAAATTAAGGAAATTTTTATAATTTTTATTTAAATAAGATAATTCAAATTTATTGATTTTTTTAAAATATTTCAATTATATTTAATACAATAATATGTGAATTTGATCTAACTCATAAAAAATTGTCCTCACTTACATGCGTTAAAGTGAGTCATAAAAAACTTATTAAAGTGGGTGTGTTTATTTTCCACTCTTTTTTTCTAAAATATTGATATTAGGCCTGCAAATATGACTTTTCTACAATAATAAGCATTGACATATTTTCTTAATTACTTTAATTTCCTACCATATATATTTTAACATATTTAATTGTGTCCTTAGCATTTGGTATATATGGGTTATGTAGCTTTTGTTCTACAATATTATAAATTATATATGTACCAAAATTTCTATGTCCAGCATATTTTCAAATCAAGGTGGTTCTCTTCATCAATAATATTTATAGTTACTAAATTATTGAGCCAGTGTTTTTATCAAGTCACCTTGACCTAATGGCATGTGTTTTTCTTTTAAAGTAGGAATTCAACCACGAATTATTATCTTGGTCATTACCTCGACCATAATTGCATCAGGGATACTTTTCACCTTCTGTTATTATTTGATACGAAGAAAAACCAGAAAGAATAGTAAAACTATTCTTGAAGAAAATTGTAAGTGTGGTGAAAAAAAATTAAACTTACTTGTCAATCAAACAGCTTAAAATAGTTTGCTGACGTGTATAGTTTAATAATTGAAATATCCTTGTTTAGTTGGACAAGAAAGTTCCACTATAGAGTCATTGCAATTCGATTTAACAATAATTGAAGCAGCAACAAGTAATTTCTCACACCAGAACAAGATCGGCAAAGGTGGATTTGGAGAGGTTTATAAGGTAAAACAAAATATGTTAAATTTTATTTCTTATGTTCCATTTTTTTAAAATAATTATCTATATTTTTAGGGCATTCTTGTTGATGGAAGATCCATTGCCGTTAAGAGACTCTCAAGAAATTCTAAGCAAGGCATAAAAGAGTTCAAAAATAAGGTTCTGTTAATAGCCAAACTTCAGCATAGAAATCTAGTGGCGTTCATAGGATTTTGTCTTGATGAACAAGAGAAAATACTTATCTATGAATATGTGCCAAACAAGAGTCTAGACTACTTCTTATTTGGTTAGATCCCTTTCACCTTTCCTTATTTTTCTTAAAGTTTAACATTTGTTAATTATGTGTTTAGAATATTTAATGCATTATATCTTAAACCAACTCAAGCAATTCACTAAAACATACATCGTTTAACTCATAATGATTATCTTTGTAGATACTGAACCAGAGAAAGTTCTGAGTTGGTTTGAGCGTCACAAGATCATAGGAGGGATTGCTCGAGGAATTCTATATTTACATGAACATTCTCGACTTAAAGTTATACACCGTGATCTTAAGCCTAGTAATGTGTTATTAGATGAAAATTTTAATCCAAAAATTGCAGATTTTGGACTTGCTAGAATTGTTGAAATAGATCAACAAGAAGAAAGTACAAACAGAATTATTGGAACATAGTAAGGTTTGAATACTCATTCCTATCATTTGCATATATAATACTTTTAAGATTATTTGTAACTTTTTGTTGATTTTGCAGTGGCTACATGTCTCCAGAATATGCTATGTTTGGACAATTTTCCGAGAAATCTGATGTTTACAGTTTTGGTGTTATGGTTCTCGAGATTATCAGTGGAAAAAAGAATACAAGTCCACATGAACCACATCGTGTTGCTGATGGTCTTCTAAATTTTGTGAGTGCTGTAATCTTGCTATACTTTTCACTTGATTAGAGGTAGGAAAGTGTAATGATCCAGCAAAGTTTACAAATTATTACAGGTTTGGAGACATTGGAGGGATGAAACAGCATTGAGCATATTAGACCCAAAATTAAAGGAAAAGTATGGTGATGTTGAAGTGATGAGATGCATTCAAATGGGACTATTATGTGTTCAAGACAGTCCAGATGCTAGACCTACAATGCTGACAATTGTTTCATATCTTAGCAGTCACACAATTGAGTTGCCATCTCCAAGAGAACCAACATTTTTCTTACACCAGAGAATGGATCCAATTGTTACTCATGAATCAAGTTCAGGACAAGCTCCCAACAGTTCCACACCATCCTCTATCAATGAAATATCTGTAAGTGGATTTTATCCTCGATAAATTTATTGTTATATATCATTAGTGTTATTTCTGTTTTAATGTATTATAAAATCTTATTTGGAAGTTAACTATGTCAGAGTTCGAAGTTTATCCTGTGACGTGTGTTTCCTTAGATTGTAGAAGGCTTTTTGGTTTAATGTAGGGAACTTCAAATTTGTGCCTTCACTGGTTCTAACTTTCTTTATTACACTTTTTTTATGTTGACATGTGTTTGCTAATTCTATGTTTTCTTATTTAAGTAGTAAAATTCATTTTGCCTATAATGTATTCTTGATTCAGTTTTTAATATATTTTATATTAAAATAATGTTACATATTAATATATTTTACGAATGTTATTTTGAATTGTTAATTAATTGACGTGACTTTAGGTTGAATATTATAATATCTGACAGAAATATCACTTTTGTACAACCCATTTGCCGCAGTAAATTACGGTTAAAAAGTCAATTAGTCGCATTTTTTATTAAAAAAATGATATTTCACACTCAAAATCATTTTTTTAATATTATAATAATAATAATAATTTTATTTTATTTTTATTAAATTATTCGATAAATTATTATATTAATAAAAATGATAATAAAAATAAATTATTTAAAAGATTATATAATTTATGATTATTAAAATATTACCATTCTTTTTTTAAATTGTACTTATTTTTTAAAATATCTTATTTTTTTAAGTCGATTTTTTTGAACGAAAAATTATTGAGATAAAAACTATTTTACATTAATGTCAATAATAAAAACAAATTTAAAAAAAGTAATTTAATTTTTTAATTTTTAGAAAGATAAGGTATAAATCAAAGAAAACCTTATTTTTTTTCAATTCTGAAGAAAAAGTCATGAGTAGAAATTAATAAAATTAGTTTGGAGAGAACAGTATCTGTCGGAAACGATCATGAATAAAACATGAGCATTTGACTATCGGGTCCTATGTCATCGTTCTATGCACAAATTTCTTCTTCATTCTTACCTACCAAAAGAAAAAGAAACATGCCAAGTTATGAGAAAATAAACACAAAGAAACGTATAATATTTAAACTTTTTTTAAGTTTCTTATATTGAAATTAAGTTTATATTTAGTCTTTTAAATCTTAAATTGATTTTTAATCTAAAAAAATGTTGTAGTTTTTCTACTTCATTATCATCTGCTTAAACAGTACACAACAAATGTTTTAAAACAAAGATGTGTATGCTTGATGAAAATATAAAATTAAAGTATGTTATTCCATCCACAACTTCTAACTATTAATTATTTCAAACATATATTTTTAAATTATGGAGACAAAAAAATCAAATAAATTTTTATTCTAGGTTTATCTCTAATGCCATAGTCCAGACAAGTAAGAAAACATTAATTAATTACTAAATGATTTTTTAAATCAAAATGATTAAACACAATAAATACCAATTTTATAAAATAAACATGCTTTAATTGGTTTGATAAAGTTTAATTAAATAATTATCTAGTTTTAATATGATTATTTTAGTGATATTTAGTAATTTATATTTTAAAATATTTAATTTTACATTGTTAAAATAAAAATGACAATTAAGTATAATTTTGTAATAATAATAATAATAATAATAATAATAATAATAATAATAATAATAATAATAATGACAATTACATATAATTTTGTATTTTGAATTCTTTTGAGACCTTCAAATAAAGAAAAAAAAATTGATACATCTCGAACGAGTTCCTTCTATTGCGCAAATTCAATAATTTTTTTTAGAAGCATCTTAAAATGACATTGAATTTAGGGTTGAGAAATGAGATGTTTATTGTGAAACAAAATGAAAATTGTTAATACTTTTAATAATATATTAGATTATTACAAGTAGAGATATAAATAATATTACATTTGACCTAACAAAGTTATCTAAATTAAATTATCTACATAAAAATATATCTACACTACAAATAGAAATTAAACCTAAATTATTGGAGAAAGATATTTAAAGTTTGATATTATATTGGTCGTTCTTTTTTTTTATTTTAATATTTGATTTATTTCCTAAATAAATAATAATTTATCGTGTACTATAATTTTTTGGCTTAACTCCTGTGCTCTTAAAAACATCAAAAACAAAATAATCAATTGATTATGTAATAGAAGATGAAACTTATATTACCTAAATATGTTAAAAAAATCTTATAAGTCACAACAAGTTTTAATGGTAAAGGGAAAATAAAAGATATGTGATTGTGACATCTACGTCTTGGTCATGTCTCATTTGGATATTTAAAAAAAATATTTTCTACTTTATTTTAAAAACATAATGTTTATAGTTTTAATGGCGAATACTTATGAACTATCAATTAATCATAGAACTTCATTTCTATTACTTTTAAATAAAAAATTTAACTTTTTATGGTGATACATTTTATGTGTGGAGTCCTTTTAAAAGTCTAAATTTGATGTAAATCTTGTTGGTTTTGTTATATTTTATCGATGATGTACAAGTATGACTTGGTTATTCGTAATGAAATAAAACAATAAGGTAAATTTATTATCTAAAACTTTTCATAAAATTCTAAGAATTCAATATAATATTTAAATTCAAAATTTACATAGTGGTGGGGAGTATGAAAATTGTGAACTCCAACAATATTTAGAAGCTAATAGAATTATTAATCAAACAGTTTGTCCCAATACACCTCAACAAAATAGGGGTTGTTTAGGCAAAAAAAAAAAATCGATAACTATCCGAAGTTATTCATACTGCATTGATTGAGACATACATGTTATTATGTTATTGGGAAGAAGTTCTCACTTCAATAATATATTTAATAAATCGAACTTCCTAAAATTCTATTGAGTATAAGACACTTTTTAAAACCTTCTATAATTTAATTGTCACTCTAATAATTCCTAATTTACCCCCTCGTGTATTTGGATGTGTAACATTTGTTCATGTTCATAAGTATCAACGCAACACAATAAGTTGGATCAACCAGTTATTTGATATGTTTTTGTTGGATATATTATACATAAAAATGGATATAGATTTTATCATCCTCTTGTTAATCACATGTACATAACAATGAATGTGATTTTTCATAAAAACACAATGTATTTTTCTTGTGAGTGTGATTTTCAAGGGAGTAATCAACAACTAATCCAAGAAATCTAGACTTTAAAATATAAAATCTATCAATTAGAGTATAATTTGAATCTAAGTGATACAATTTTATATGATCACCCTTTAAGAGATAAAACAAAAGAAACTAGTATTAGATCATCATAAGAAATTTGTAGAGTTAACTTTGAAGTTTCATATAAATCTCTTGTTGGAGATAACAATGGAGCTCCACATGAATATTTTAATAAAGATGTTATCAATTATTTATTTATTGGCTAGAAAATAATTGTCAAATTGTCAGAACTCTAGTAAAATTAAATATCTTATGAGTCACTATCAATATAATCATAGACTATCATAATTAAATAAAATATTTATGACAACATTTGGATATCATTAAATTAATTCAGGTCTCTATTTTTGAATAAACAAAAAGGTAAGCTAACTACATTTGTTTCATATGTGGATGATATGATTGTCATAGAAAATGATCTAGAGGAAACTAAAGTGTTACACGAATATTTATAAAAAAAAATTAAAATGAAGGACATTGATTCCTTAAAACATTTTCTAGAGATTGAAATATCTAGATATAAGAAAAAAATTGTCTTAAAAAATATGTCTTAGACTTGTTACAAGAAATAGATATATTATCTCTTCAGCCAACAAATACACCAATAGAAGAAGATTTGAAGTTATCTATTGCATCAAGTCAAGTCCTAGTTGATAAACAAAAATATTAAAGACTTATAGATAGATTTGTAACACCCTACCTTATAAACCTTCAATCAGAAAAAATAATAATTTTTAGCAGATTTTTTTTAAAACCAATAATAATCTTTCCCTCGTACATAATATGAATATATTAAACTAATGCATTAATCGTAAAAAGGAATAAACTTTAATATGTAAATTTTCAATAACTCATTCCTGTATTTCATCATTTAAAAAAGTACTAAAAGTAAACATTCATAATTACACATAGATAAAATACTAGTACAATCCTTCAAATATTAAGGGCAACATGGAGGATACTTCCTACAAAGCAACAAACTACACAAAAGAGTGACTGTTACCTAGTATCATGTAGGTCTATATATTACAAAATACTGTCTATAAAAGTTTGGATATGTTTATCCTAATACATGTTGCCATCAATGTGACTTCCAACTAATGAGTATGAGTGTCATATTCATCGGGTGTGGAATCTGTGCCATCTCCCCTCTCTTTAAACAATGACCGATCAAGTCCAACGAGTATCGCAAGTACAAAGGAAATAAAAAAAAACAGAGAAAGACAAGAGGGTGAGCAACAGTTCATACATCATCTTAAAATCAAGCATCATAAACATTCACAAGTCAATCAAATTCCAAATGATTGATGTTAATGATGCATGATTCTAATATGTTTTCTAAAATGTTTATGCACGCGGGCCCAAATCATTTCTCAAATCAGTACTGGGGTAGCCAAGAGTTGACACTACTAGGCATGGAAAATCCACCCACGGGATTGTTGAGATCCATGCTAAAATATAAACCCAGTAGCTCACTGACCATTGATAAGAGCACAGTCAGGTACATGAGAGTTTGTACAGTGGGATCCCCGACAACAGGTAGCGAGTCTGGGTCTTTTGGGGCCTCCAACCACTACCTTTCCTATCCTCAAGTCCTCCCTCAGGGCCTCCCTATCGTATTCTCAGAGTCCATAATATCTGATTTCCCAAATTTCATAAATCACCATTTTCAGATGAATAATGTATGAGTCTCTAAGTGGTTTTTCTTAAAAATTCACATTTTTCCAAAAAATTTGACAGAGTTTCTCCTGTAATACGGACTTCCCAAAAATTTCCAATCACCTGTTACAAGCAGAAAACTTCCAACATAGTTCAAAAAGAGTTTACAACCCATCATCCAATTCTTTCAATTTAATTTTCAATGAATTTTCTCATAAAAAAACCACCATGCATATAAATACTCACTCAAAGACAATACATATCATAATAGAGTACCATGCATGTATTTTACACCATCATACACGTAAACAATTCATTATCACTTTCACAACTAAGCATATAATGAAATCAAATTTATCAATCATAACAAATTTAGACAATTTCAACAAATAAGGTCAAACAAGTTTATGATGTAATCCTTATTATATAGCTCACCCTTTACCTCGATACGTCCACACTTATTCCTTTCAAAGCTTGATGTTATGTTTCAAACAAAATCTATATACGTAATAAAATACTAGTTAGAATTTTATATTTCTATGTTTCTATTTCATGAGAATTTAAATTCACTTTGTTTTGTTAATCCATTTCTAATAATATTTTAAGTTCACATTCAACTTACAATTAACTTAGAAAATTATCCTATTTTGTATGCACTTAGAGTAGGAAGAATTTTAATAGCAAACATGGACAAACAATGACGAATCTTGACCATTGATCTTGGGGAGGTCAAATAATATATTATTAATAAATAATAAATAAATATAAAAAGAAGAAAGAAGATGAAAGGGTGAAAGGATAAAATTGTAGATATATACTTAAATATATTAAATAATCATTAAGTACGAGGGAGACAAAATTATAAATTATATGAGACTTATAAAAGTAAGGAGGGGCTGAGAGGATAAAGTTGTAAATATACAAGTAAATATATTAAATTTTCATTAAGTTTGGGGGTGCCAAAATCATAAATTACATGGAAGTTACAAAACTTTGGGGGACCACGGCCCCCCTCAGCTCCCAAGAAGATCCGCCACTGAACAAAGTTCAGTCTTTTAGAGTTTTCTAGAGTTATATAAGCTGTTTTGGCATGACGTCTGAGCCAAAATTTCAATAACTTAATTATATACAATATTGATGAGAGAAATAAATTTAAATACCTTATAGAATAGATGCAGTTTTCAGTGGTTGTTTCCAACTAGGTTCAACTACAATAACACTTTGAACATGCCTTGTTAATTGAATTATAACTCATGCTACACATAAGCTATTAACATGAAACAAATTTCTAAATTTCGGGAATATAATTTCCTACAACTTTTATGAAGGAATAAAGTCCTAATTTCACACATATCAATCTCAGTAATTCAAAAACCGAGGCTGTTGAAACAGGTAAACCTCTTAACGTCACAGCTAGAACACTTGACAGTAAAATGGGCATAACTTGAGCTACAAATATCCGTTTAATGTGAAACTAGTTTCTAAGTTTTGACAACTTAAAGAGATACAACTTTTATGAAGATACTAATTTCTACTTCTGTTCACACAAGTCCCAGAAATTCAATGAACATTACCTATAATAACACTCTTCCTACTCCCATTCAAGCTCAGCCAAGTGAGGTGAAAAATTGAAAATGCATCGTTTTGAAAAATAAAACCATAGAAATGTAGAGGAGATTGAGAGAAACAAACTATTAAGATTTCTCCCTCAAAATCAAGCTTGAAGGTAAGGAAAATTTTAAGAGAAAGAGAGAAACGAGGAACTTACGAAAAACTTTTCGCTCAGTGGATATGAGACAGCAAGTAATAGAGAGATTTCAAACCATAATCCACTCAGCGGATTATATTACAAAAAATTTATGCATTATTTTCTCCTTTTTACTATATTCAAGATGTGAACCCACAAGTTTTAATGTACCCACACTTAATGCATACAAGAAAATAATTTCTAAATATGACAATTAAAATTATCAAGTCCCTAAGGCACACACATGAGTATTTTCTAACAATTATAAAATAATAGAAAAATTATAATTATTTTAATGCACATACAAGAATTGAACTCCTAACCCACTAATCTTATGATAAAGGTCTAACCAAATGATTCACTCCTCATCTCTATAATATTATTAAATTCTTAATTTAGTTACTTCTCTTACTTCCAATTTCTTCTTTAAAACATATAATTACTATCTGACGTCAATTGTCCGTAAAACGGATCAATTTTGAGTATTTTCTAAAAATTCTAAAAAATTCCAGAAAATAAAAAATATTCTAACAAACATAAAACTCTATAGTTAATTTACCCAATTCATAATAATTTAATTATTAAAATTTTGACAAAGATTTTGTCAAAATTTAACAGATCGAATGTAGTGAAAATTAGGATGTTACAAGATTAATGTATTTAGCATTATGTGTTAAGTTAATTTATGAATAACCATGGAGAGGAACATATGAATACAATGTATGCGCATCATAAGATATTTAAAATGGATTATCATTCACCAAAAGTACAAATTATCAATAAATAGATGTATATAATAATATTGATTAGTCTGAATCATTAGAAGATAAATAATAAATATCAGTCTACTTTATATTGTTGGTGGTAATCTTGTTATATATAGGAAAGAAAAAACAAAATTTAATCTTTCACTCAAGTGTAAAAACTGAGTTTAAAAATTTATCATTAGAATTTATGAAGATTTATAACTAAGATTTATTTTGTAAGATAATGGATACTTATCTATATTAAATTATAACCTGATACTAAAGTTTGTTTGTAATATTTGTTCATAATATAATATAATTAAACAAAACATGTTGTAATTGATAGATTTTTTTATCAAAAGAAAAATTATAAAAACAAAATTTGTAGAATTATTGTTCAAAAACCAATTAACCTATATATTTAATAAAAATTGTCTCAAATAAAATATTTTTAAAATATCTCATTTTATATATTATAAATAGATTTACATGTTTTATTTTTATTTTTATATTTTTTCATTTTTTTTAATGGATGGGGAGTGGATATTTTAAAATCTTGAATAAATATCAATGACTCTACTCTTCAAATTTGATAATAAATATTTACATCCTTCCAATATTAATATAATAATAAATATTTTTAACATTTTTAAAATTTAAATAATATATTTTAAAAGAAGAACTACTCAAATATAATACTCATCAATTTATTTATCAAATAGACGGGTTTCCTGTTTACATGTAGTTTTTTTTTTTTCTATTGGCCAGCTTTTTTGTTTTTTATTCTCTTTTCACATTCAATAATAAATAATTTTATTTACAATAACATAAATAGTTACTTTAAAATTAATTTATTATAATAAATAATTACTCATCTAATTTAAAAAATATGAAATATTTATGAGTTAAATATATTTTTTATTTAATAATTTAATCTAATTATAATTAAGTTGAGTTATAATAATTAATTAGATAAGATAATTTTAAAAATATTTATCAAAAAAAGTATTTTAAGATAAATATTTTTTTAATAATTATAATATAATAATAATATTTGTAATATCTCAAATTTATTTTATAATATTTCTTAAAAATATAATATATTAAATTATAATATTTTTGGATTATTTAAATATTTTATTTTTTAATAATAATAAAAATTCACTTTATCAAATTTTAATTTATTATTTTTAATTGAAGAAGATGAAGGATGAAAAAATAAAAGAAGAAAAAAAGAGAAAAAAAAGAGTAAAAAGAAAAAAGACCTTAAATGAAGATAAAGAAAGAGAAAAGAATAATAGAAAATAAAGAGAGAAATAAAAAATAGAAATAAAAATTATATTATATTTTATTTATTTATTTTCTCTTATTAAATTTTGTATATAAATAATAAATCGGTTGAATAAATAAATTTACAAATATTTTATTTAAATTATATTTTTTTTAAAATATATTGTTTATGAAATTGATTTAGTTATAATCTCACTTTATCAATTCTCTAATATCGACTTTATTATACCATTTTTATTTTGCCTGGTCAAAGTTGGGTGGTGCTCTGAAAAGTATATATAATATTTTCCAAAAAAGACACCAGATTTGACCGCACAATCATTTGAGTGTTCGCTGCTCCTCACTGCCATTGTCAAGTTAAACACTACGATCCCATGAGAAAGTGATGTACAAGTTCCAACATCTCCCCAGAAGTTTCAAGGGACTAAGTACTATATCTTGTTGCTTTAGATTTCACATAATATATTCAAATTACAGCAAATTTTACTTTAATTAGAATCGAGTTAAACTTAAATTATTATTTTCTGTTCTAACTATTGCAAGTTTAGGTGGCATGATGTGAAGACAGGGAAAAAAGGTTTTAGATTATGTTTAGATACAACACTAGATTTAAAAAATAAATAGAAGTTAAAACTGTTTGGATTAAATAAAAAAAGAATAAAATTGAGTAGAAATAAAATAGGTTTATTTATTATTTTAATATATTTTTTAATTATTTATTATTATTATAAAATACATTAATTAATTTTTAAAAATATAATCAATTTAAATATTATATAAATTTAATTACATAATTAATATACAAATATTATACAAGCAAATATTTGTTTGCATAGATGATGTGCAAGGACACAGTGGATTATATCTTAATTTCTGAATTTGTCTATTTTGTTTTTCATCAAAAAGAGGAAAAAAAATTGTCTGACTTTTTGACTTTTGTACACTAAGATGCATGGAAAAAGAAAACTAGTTAAACAAAAGTAGACATGAAATTGTATCGAAGTTTCGTACGTTAATAGGTATATATGTTGGAACGAGTGCTAACATGGTCATTTCCCTTTCCACCATGGCTTTGAACTCCTTGAAGCCCATCTCCCTTTGCATCCTTGTTACCTTCTTCAGTTTCGCAACTAGTAAAGCAAAGGGCGCTGACTTTCTTTATCGATTTTGCAGTGACGACAGAAGCAGTGGGAACGGCACCTATCCGATGAACCTGAGGACCCGCCTCTCTTCCTTATCTTCCAAAGCCAGCGACAAAAGATTCGACGTCGAGCCAGTGCCTGCCACAAACTCCTCTGACACGGTGTATGGTCTTTTCATGTGCAGGGGTGATGTACTCCCTCAAGCCTGCAAAGACTGCGTCGCAAACGCAACCCAGACTCTATCTTCGGACACGAACTGTTCCCTGGCCAAATGGGGTGTGATTTGGTACGAGGAGTGCATGGTACGGTACTCAAATGACTCCTTCTTCTCCACAGTGGACACATCTCCTGCTTTCTTCAAGTGGAACTTGGCCAATATCTCCTCCAACTCAACAAGCAGCTTCATGACTTCGTTGGACGCCACCATGATGGAAACTGCAAATCAAGCAGCCAAATCTAGTAACAGGTATTCCACGAGGCAGGAAAACTTGTCTGGATTTCAGACCCTTTACTGCCTAGCTCAGTGCACACAAGACCTTTCAATCCAACAATGCTCACTCTGTCTTCATGAGCTAATTTCAATGTTTCCACTTTGCTGTGATGGAAAGCAAGGAGCAAAAGCTTATAATCCCAGTTGTAACATTAGGTATGAATTGTACCCTTTCTACCGCGTCAGTGATGCACAAATAGGACTCGTCCCTGAAACAAAATATGCACACACAGATTCTGAATATTCAGAAGATCCCGGCTATATTTCTTACAACTGCTCAAACAACAAAGCTGACGCTGCTTTCCAATCAAATCTCAGAACCCTGCTCTCTGACATGTCTTCCAACGGCACCTCTCAAAATGGATTCCAGACGCTGGAGAAAACAGCCTATGGCCTCTTCAGGTGCCGTGACGACATTACTCTTGGCCTCTGTGGACAATGCATCCAAAACGCAACTGACAAAATAGCCTCTCTGTGTGGTTTGGCTTCTACGGAGGCCGTCATATGGTACAATCACTGCTGGCTTCGCTATTCCGACAGAGACTTCTTCTCCAGCGCCGACACAAGTCCGAGATTTTGGGATCTGAATATCAGCAACACCAATCCGATACAGTCCTCCGTTGCTTCTGAATTATCCAACAAGCTAGATGAGGTGGCCACGAAGACAGGGAACAGTAATACCAAATACCAAACAGAATCACTGAGATTGAATGATAAGCAAACAGTGTATATTCTTGCCCAATGCTCATCGGGTCTATCAACCAATAGTTGCGTTGGGTGCCTTAGTGATGTGATTGGAATGGCAATTCCATGGGGCAGTTTAGGAAGTGTCGGTGGACGAGTTCTCTATCCAAGCTGTTTTCTTCGCTTTGAACTGTTCCAGTTTTACAATCTCGTTCTTACCACTGCTAATCCTCCCCCACCAGGTTTTTTTTATTTATTTCTTATTCGCATCTCTAAAACTTCTCAATCATGACTCCGACCAATGCTAATAAAGTAGACATATCTTAGGCACTTATGAGAAAAGAGTCACGATCAACAATATTTTTCTTTCTATTACAATTTGTAATTTTAAAATATTTTTTTAGAAAATAAATTGTATTAATCAATAATAATATTATTATTTTATAGTTTTGGTAGAATTAAATTGGATTTGATCTCAAATTGAATACATAAAACCTGTCATTTTCATGAGTTTGTATTGGATTAAGTAATAATTCTATGAACATACTTTAATCAAGGGTGCCTAAAAAGAAAGAAAAAAAATGACGTGCAGAAAGGGGCTTTCAAAATTGAGCTTGCTTTTTTCAATAATAAACTGTTTGAAAAGGATGAGTGTTGTGTTCAAAAACAATATTTTCTCTAAAATATTCATGTTTGATTTACATGTAGGGCTTTTCTATACTATCATCATCATTAACATATTTTCTTGAGTACTTTAATTTCCCATATGTGATAACACTTTTATTTATGACCTTATAGCATGTTGGTGTATATGGGTTGTGTAGCTTCTGTTCTACAATATATTATAAATTATATGTGCCAAATTTCTGTCTTTTGTGGATCATATCAAGGTTGGTTTTCTTCATCAGTTATATTTTTAGTTGATAAAAAATTGAGCCATTTTTAACCATGACCTACTGCACGTGTTATTCTTTTAATGTAGAAGAAAGTCCAAGAAATATTATCTTGATCATTACCTCGAGCATAGTTGCATCAGGGATACTTTTCACCTTCTGTTATTATTTGATACGAAGAAAAACCAGAAAGAATAGTAAAACTATTCTTGAAGAAAATTGTAAGTGTGGTGAAAAAAAATTAAACTTACTTGTCAATCAAACAGCTTAAAATAGTTTGCTGACGTGTATAGTTTAATAATTGAAATATCCTTGTTTAGTTGGACAAGAAAGTTCCACTATAGAGTCATTGCAATTCGATTTAACAATAATTGAAGCAGCAACAAGTAATTTCTCACACCAGAACAAGATCGGCAAAGGTGGATTTGGAGAGGTTTATAAGGTAAAACAAAATATGTTAAATTTTATTTCTTATGTTCCATTTTTTTAAAATAATTATCTATATTTTTAGGGCATTCTTGTTGATGGAAGATCCATTGCCGTTAAGAGACTCTCAAGAAATTCTAAGCAAGGCATAAAAGAGTTCAAAAATGAGGTTCTGTTAATAGCCAAACTTCAGCATAGAAATCTAGTGGCGTTCATAGGATTTTGTCTTGATGAACAAGAGAAAATACTTATCTATGAATATGTGCCAAACAAGAGTCTAGACTACTTCTTATTTGGTTAGATCCCTTTCACCTTTCCTTATTTTTCTTAAAGTTTAACATTTGTTAATTATGTAGTTAGAATATTTAATGCCTTATATCTTAAACCAATTCAAGTAATTCATTAGAACATACATCGCTTATCTCTCATCATGATTATCTTTGTAGATTCTAAACCAGAGAAAGTTCTGAGTTGGTTTGAGCGTCACAAGATCATAGGAGGGATTGCTCGAGGAATTCTATATTTACATGAACATTCTCGACTTAAAGTTATACACCGTGATCTTAAGCCTAGTAATGTGTTATTAGATGAAAATTTTAATCCAAAAATTGCAGATTTTGGACTTGCTAGAATTGTTGAAATAGATCAACAAGAAGAAAGTACAAACAGAATTATTGGAACATAGTAAGTTTTGAATACTCATTCCTATCATTTGCATATATAATACTTTTAAGATTATTTGTAACTTTTTGTTGATTTTGCAGTGGCTACATGTCTCCAGAATATGCTATGTTTGGACAATTTTCCGAGAAATCTGATGTTTACAGTTTTGGTGTTGTGGTTCTCGAGATTATCAGTGGAAAAAAGAATACAAGTCCACATGAACCACATCGTGTTGCTGATGGTCTTCTAAATTTTGTAAGTGCAGTAATCTTGCTATTCTTTTCACTGGCTTAGAGGTAGGAAAATGTAATGATCCAGAAAAGTTTACAAATTACTACAGGTTTGGAGACATTGGAGGGATGAAACAGCATTGAGCATATTAGACCCAAAATTAAAGGAAAAGTATGGTGGTGATGTTGAAGTGATGAGATGCATTCAAATGGGACTATTATGTGTTCAAGACAGTCCAGATGCTAGACCTACAATGCTGACAATTGTTTCATATCTTAGCAGTCACACAATTGAGTTGCCATCTCCAAGAGAACCAACATTTTTCTTACACCAGAGAATGGATCCAATTGTTACTCATGAATCAAGTTCAGGACAAGCTCCCAACAGTTCCACACCATCCTCTATCAATGAAATATCTATAAGTGGATTTTATCCTCGATAAATTTATTGTTATATATCATTAATTATTCCTATCTTAATGTATCAAAAAGTCATATTTGGAAGTTAACTATGTCACCAGAGTTCAAAGTTTGTCTTGTGTTGTGATGTGTGTTTTTCTCCATATTGTGTAATAAGGCCTTGCTGGGGTCGTAATAAACCATATTGTAAAAATGATTAATTACATTATGTTAACTATGGATGAAATTTTCTACACTAACACCATTAATTAATCCATCTTCTGAAAACCATGAGTTTTCACCCAAGTGTTAAGTGAAAAATCGATACAAGGATCGAAAAACAGAAGAAAGAAAATCGAATATCATACGATTGGTTAAAAAGTTGATAAATCGGAAAGATGGTTGGAAGACACCCGGTGACCACGAGATAGTAAGAACATATAAATCGAGAATCAGAAAAGAGAGAAAGAAATCGATGAAAGTAATGATAAAGTCAAGGTTAAGGGAAATCGAACTCGATAACTGGAATCGAGATCGAGAGAAACGATTATCATGCAGATGGAACATGAGGAGTGACTTTTCACATCGCGGCTAAGGTTAGAAATCGAGAAACGGTTATAATGCACATTGAACGTGGAAGCGGTTTTCTAAACCGTAAACTAAGGGAAAAATCGAGGAACGTGCACATGGAACGTGGTGACAATTTTTTAACTGCTCTTGGGAGGTTATATTGAAGGATGCCTATAAATAGAACGAAACTTGAAAAAGGGAGAGGGGAAATTGGCAGAGAAGACAGAAACATAAGTGAAGAATTTACAGGAGAACGACGCATCACTACAAGAAAAACACCAAATAGTGACCGAAAATTCGGTCACTAAATGTGCAAAATCGGTTACTAATTAAAATAGTGACCAAAATAGTGACCAACTGGAATCGGTCACTATTTCCTTGGTCACTGATTTTAGTGACCGAATATATATAATCAAATCGACCATCGATTCAGATCACTAAATCAATGAAAAAGAATAACAAATTTAATTATTTTTATTTATTAACATTTTTATTATATCTATTATTTATTTTCCCTATCTCTTAATTATATTATATTTTTTAGAAGTTTAACTTATTATTAGGTGATTTATTATCATTGTCGGGATTCGAACCCGGTACCTTAGAGTTGGAGGTCGAAACTCCAACCATCTGAGCTACTAGGATCTTTTAAAAATAACTTACAAATAAATTATATTTATATACAAATAAATGTATATCCGTATAAATATATAAATATAAAATCTATAAATAAAAATATATTTATATATTTTAATATATATTTAAATATTGGTATATTTAAATATTGATATATTTATATATTGATATATTTATATATTGATATATTTATATCTTTATATTTTTACATATATTTATATTTTTATATATTTATATCTTCATATTTTTACATATATTTATATGTTTTCATATTTATATATAAAGATATTAGTTTTCTATACAAATAATATTATAATATAGTATATTATACTATTAGTATAGTATACAAATAATATATTAATATAGTATAGTATACAAATTATTAATTTTGTAATTTATATACAATGAAAATAATATAATGGTATATTAGTATAGTATAGTATATTTGTATTCTAATTTTTAATTAAATTAAAATTATGCTAATAATGTATATTAATATATGAGGGGATAATATTGATATATTGATATATTTGTATATATATATATATATATATATATATATATATTTATATATATTTATATATTTATATATTTATATATTAATATATTTATATATTTATATATTTATATATTTATATTTTTATATATTTATATTTTGATATATTTATATATTTATATATTTATTTATATCCTTATACATTTATATATTTATATATTTGAAAAAAATATATTAAATTTTAAAAATAATATTATATTTTTAAAAATAAATATAAGAAAAAGATTTAAAAATATATATAAATTATATTTACATTTACAAAATATTAAAGATATATGTTTATATCTTTACATATTTATATATATTTATATATTTATATGTTTATATTTACTTCTAATAGCGGTTGCATCATCGCTCGAGCGAGATTAGAGTCGCTCAAGCGAAATACAACCCGAGAATGTCAATTTTGTGCGAGGGGCGTTTCGCTCGAGCAAGAAGAGCATCGCTCAAGCGAAATACATTTTAGATAGCGGTTACACAGGAACCGCTCTTAAAAGTTCACTTAGATAGCGGTTAACCTGAAACCGCTATTATATGGTTTCAATTATGATCGATCAGAATGCAATTATGACCGATCAGAACTCTTTAATCGATTAAATCTCATTTCAATTGATTAAAACAATTTACTGCAAGCGTTTTAATCGATTAAAACTTATTTTTATCAGATTAAAATAACTTGAAAAGTTTTACAAGAAACTTATATTTATATATTTATATTTTTATATATTTATATTTTGATATATTTATATATTTATATATTTATATATTTATATATTTATTTATATCCTTATACATTTATATCTTTATATATTTATATATTTGAAAAAAAAATATTAAATTTTAAAAATAATATTATATTTTTAAAAATAAATATTAGAAAAAGATTTAAAAATTCTCAATTCTACATTTTTGTAAATTCTATCATTATATTATCATGCTCATTATATCAAAATGTTAAATACTTTTAAATATTAAAATTAACTTTATAAAAAATTAGGAAAAAAAATTAATCCAAAAGAGTTCAAAAATGTATTATAATATTGTCAATTTTGATTTTAATTATATTGTTCATTCTCAAAGTAAAAAAATATAATTTAAAATTTTAATACTAAAATTAAAAGATTAAATAATAATAAATTTAATTCTTTAAATTCAGTAGCTAGAAACTAAAATTATAGTTTCTCTGTTTGAAATAATTAAAATAAATATTTAAAAATAAAAATCAAAACTAGTATTATCTTAAATTTATTAAAAGTGTAATTCAAACTTCTCAATTCTACATTTTTGTAAGTTCTATGATTATATTATCATCCTCATCTCCTTCCATGTTCTACTTTATCTTTACAATAGTCAATATTCTTAACTAATTTATAGTTTTAATTATAATTTTTTAGTATATATTTCAGAAATTAATCAATTCTAATATATTATTTGAAAAACTAATCAATTCTAATCAATAATTTAGAAAACTAATCGATTATAATTAATTATTTGAAAAAATTATCAAATATGATTGATCATTTCGAAAATCTAATCGATCAGAATCAAAAAATCTGGTTGTATATGATAGCGGTTGCACCATCGCTCGAGCGAGACAATAGTCGCTCAAGCGAAATACAACCCGAGAATGCCAATTTTGTGCAGGGGGAGTTTCGCTCGAGCGAGAAGAGTGTCGCTCAAGCGAAATACAGTTTAGATAGCGGTTCCTAACCGCTCTTAAAAGCTCACTTAGATAGCGGTCAACCTCGAACCGCTATTATATGGTTTCAATTATGATCGATCAGAATGCAATTATGACCGATCATAATGAAAACTTACATTAACTATTTTTTTATATTATGTTTTTAAATTTTCTATTAGAGAAAACCTTTCAGAATTCAAAATGTTAAATACTTTTAAATATTAAAATTAACTTTATAAAAAATTAGGAAAAAAAATTAATCCAAAAGAGTTCAAAAATGTATTATAATATTGTCAATTTTGAGTTTAATTATATTGTTCATTCTCAAAGTAGAAAAATATATTGTAATTATTTTAATTTAATAAAATATGATTTAAATTTTTAATACTAAAATTAAAAGATTAAATAATAATAAATTTAATTCTTTAAATTCAGTAGTTAGAAACTAAAATTATAGTTTCTGTGTTTGAAATAATTAAAATAAATATTTAAAAATAAAAATCAAAACTAGTATTATCTTAAATTTATTAAAAGTGTAATTAAATCTCTATTTTCTTAATTTTATTTGTTTCAAACTTCTCAATTCTACATTTTTGTAAGTTCTATGATTATATTATCATCCTCATCTCCTCCCATGTTCTACTTCATCTTTACAATAGTCAATATTCTTAACTAATTTATAGTTTTAATTATAATTTTTTAGTATATATTTCGAAATTTATCAATTCTAATCTATTATTTGAAAAACTAATCAATTCTAATCAATAATTTAGAAAACTAATCGATTATAATTAATTATTTGAAAAAATTATCAAATATGATCGATCATTTCGAAAATCCAATTGATTAGAATTAAAAAATCTGGTTGTATATGATAGCGGTTTCATCTGAACCGCTCTTAAAAGAGCACTTCTAATAGCGGTTGCACCATCGCTCGAGCGATACTAGAGTCGCTCAAGCGAAATACAACCCGAGAATGCCAATTTTGTGCAGGGGGCGTTTCGCTCGAGCGAGTAGTGTATCGCTCAAGCGAAATACAGTTTACATAGCGGTTACACATGAACCGCTTTTAAAATCTCACTTAGATAGCGGTTAACCTGGAACCGCTATTATATGATTTCAATTATGATCGATCAAAATTTAGTTATGACCGATTAGAACACTTTTAATCGATTAAATCTCGTTTCAATCGATTAAAACAGTTTCTGCACAGCGTTTTAATCGATTAAAACTTATTTTTATTAGTTAAAATAACTTGAAAAGTTTTACAAGAAAGTTTTGCAGTATTTCAATCGATTGAATCGCGAAACAATCAATTAAATCAACTTAGAAGATTTTTTGTAAAGTGTTTTAATTGATATAAACGTTGTCGTATCAGTTAAAACAAATATGTTAAAGAATCAAGAACGTATTAATGGATTAAAAGAAGTTTTAACAGATTAAAACTGCACTTTTAACAGATTAAAATAATATTTTAACAGATTAATTAAACCAGCAGTTTTGAAAATCTTCTATAAAAACAGTTTGGCTTGAACTTTTTTAACATACATTGAATATCATCTTTTACACATCCTTGAGCAATCAATCAATCGCAAATTGCG